TTTTGAAAAAGTGGTATTTTTGTAAAGATTTCAAAAATGTGGCATTTTTGTAAAGTGGCACTTGAAAAGTGGCATTTTTAAAATTTCTCAATATTTTTTTTCAACAAAAAAAAACATGTGAAATATTACAGAATATAGATTCTATGTTTTTTAACTTCATAATTGTTTGTATATTTGGTCTCGGTTTTTATTATGGTTTATTATATTAGTACATCTAATTCGTAGAAAACTATCATATGTAATTTTTAATACTAAAATAAAACATGATAACTAATGTATATAATTATCACCACACAGCATATAATATAACCAAATTTTTAAAAATTACATAACTATATATGTATAACATATATGTCTATATTTAATCCAATATTCATTTTTATAATGTAAATTACTAACTTGCATATAATATAATTAGGGGTGGCCAAACTGGGTTTTGAATTGAATCTTTTAGGTTTTGGATTGGATTTGGGTTATTTTTTTTTTGTTCAACCCATTATATTAAGTAGAAAATTAGTCCATTATAGATAAGAGGCCCAATTTGGCTAGTCTATCTGCATTAATATTTGCAGATCGAGAAATGTAAATAAATTCAACACAATTAAAAGATTTAGAGCTTATCGCAATGTCTTCTAAAATTTCATAGATTTCCGGCAGCTGAGATCGTTGTTTGATGCCTCGAATCAGTACTTGAGAGTCGGATTTGAAGACCACTTTCTCGAAATTCCTTATCGAAGCTTGAAGAATTGCATTCTTCATTGCCATCGCTTCCGCTACGAGAGCAGAGAAAACGTTACAAGCCGAAGCCTAGTGTTTCGTCATAGGAGTAGAGATGGATTCGAAAGTCCATCCCATACCAGCCTGTCCCGAGTTAGCCATCCAGGCTGCGTCGGTGGAACAGATGATATATCCATCCGTCAAGTTGGAAGGATTTTGGGGATGCGCCGATTGGATCGACGTAATTGGAGGAGGCAGGATCGGTTGTGCAGCGATCCATTCTCGGGCGTCTTGAATCGCCTTGTTGAAGGTTTCAGTAGCCGTGAAATCTTGACTATTGAAGAATTTCTGATTCCTGGCTATCCACAGAGCCCAGCAAATCCACGGGGAGAGAGCTTCTTTCTCCAGTCCGATCGGAGGTAGGAAGAAGAGGTTTCTTACGTAGGCGATTCCGGTAGGGACAGTCGGGATCTGGGATGGGTCGAACTCTTGTGCACTTGCCAATTGCCAAACCGATTTGGCGAACGGGCAAATGAAGAGTAGGTGTAGGACCGATTCTGAGCCTTCACATCTACAACACTTCGTGGTTTGAGTGACGTTGCGTATCAGCAGTTGCTCTCCCACTGGTAGAGC